AAAAGTAAAGTAATAGAATCTATAGTCAAATCATAAAAGGAATAATAATATCAAAAGTAAGTTAGGATATATGAAAGACTACGTAAAAAAGATAAAAATCAAATATTTAAAATCTTTAAAATCATGTAAAAAAATTTTTTAAAAAAAAGCTAGTATAAATAAAGTAAAATGAAAAAAGAAAATAGAAAAAATTAATAAGAACGTTTTTAAGCCTCAATTAATATAAAAAATCGAAGATTCTTTATTGAAGATAAAAATAGATGAAACATAAAAAAACTTGTAAAATTTTATAGTAATTAATATAGATATTTAATTTCGGACTATTTATAACTCAAAAAGTTTTTTTTTTCTTACCTTTAAAATTTTGTTTCATATATTGCTTATTATTTTACTAAATTCTACTTAAAGTTATATAATTTTATTGTATTGTTTTACAAAATATTTTATTATAAATCCTTTTACAACAATGATGCTAGCTAGTTCGAATATTTCTCAACAAACAAAATCAAAAAAGCATGCTAGAGGAAAGCGTAAACATTATCTTACAGAGTATATTATTACCACCGATGAATATGTTAATCTGCAAAAACCCAATGACAAATATTGCTATTGTTTGGCCTGTCATGAATCAAACTCTTAAAAGGTTAAAATTGTTAATAGAAAAAAATTAGAAAAAAATCATCTTAAAAACTATACATATTTTATATGCAAAGTTGGTGGAAAGGAACAAGCTGAAAATATCTTGAATAAAGAAGAATTAGAAGCTTCTAAAAAGTTACGGTTAGATGAAGAAGAAGATAAATTTTATATATTAATACAGTATAATATCTTTATTTCTATAATTATAACACTACTGTATATAAATATTATTTATTTTAGAATCTTCGGATGACAATAGCTTAGTTAGTTCAAAATCTGAAAGTAAAAAAATAGACCAATTTCTTGCCCATACACCAACATTCTTAGAACAAGCCCAATTTGAAGATCAAATATTAAACATTACAATAACAAATGGTTGGTCATTCCGTTGGGTAGAAGACAAAAGTGTTATTGCATATTATTGTTGGTTAAATCCTTATCTAGCATTACCTAGTTATAAACAGTTAGCTGGACATATTTTAAAATCTGCAACTAATACTAACTGATCTTATATCCAAAATAAAGCACGTAAGGATTCATATGAAATTATAATTGCTTTTGATGGATGGAAAAATGTAACAAATCAGAAAATACTAGATTCAGTGTTAATTAAATCCAATAATAAAACTTTAGTATGGAAAGTAATTGATATTAGCGGGCAAAGAAAAAAATATGAAAATATTATGGAAATTACTGAAGAAATATTTGAGGAACTAAATATATTAGAAATAAAAATAATTGGGCTTGTAACGGATAGTGACGCTGCTTATGCTGCTTCAAGGTAATATTAAACTTATACATTTTTTTATTATTTACTAAATATATTTATAGAGGTTTATATATTAAAGATACTATATAAATTAATTAAATTTTTTTAATTATAGATGCAGACTTAGATTAAAATATTTAGATAAAGTTTTTTTACCATGTTATGCCTATCAATTCAATTTGTGTATGGGAGAAATTTTTAAAAAATCCGATAGTTTTAATATAGTAATGAAATCAGCAATTACAATTGCAAGTTATTTTAAAAATTCTAACCATTCTTATTTTATTAGTAAGCTTTGTGATGAGCAGTATTCTTTGTATAAGCATTTTATTTCATTAGCAAATCCTGTAGAGACACGTTGGAATAGCTATTATTACTGTGTTAGCTCTTTACTTAAATCAAAAAGTGCATTAAAAGTATATTTAATTAATTTTTTATATTATTATTTTTAATAAGCTTTATAAATATTATAATTCTAATTATAATTCTAATTATTTAAAAATTTGTATATTATATAGACACTTGTTGCTAAATTCGAATTTTTAGAAATAACATCAAATAATGAATCTTTAGATCTTTACCTACCTAAAAATATATGCAAAATTATTAATAATGAACAGTGGTGGTCTCAACATCAAGAACTTTTTCAACTTCTTCTTCCATACTGCGCATGTCTTAACAAACTACAATATGACAAAGCACGATTATATGAAGTTCTCTACTGCATTTCTTATCTTATAAAGTTATATAAAGGTTATTCTGATAAAATTTTGCTATCTGTATGATTAATCATTTAGAGCACAGATGGAATTCCTGGGAACAGCCATTATTACTTCTTTCATTTCTTCTTCATCCTAAATATAATATATTAATGTTTAGTTCTACAAATGAACAGCTTTACTTTCAACTTAGCGATTGGTTAATATACTATAATTGTGCTTGGTTTGGTAATGAACCTCTTACTCTTTTACCTGAGCTTGAGAAATATTGAAAAGAAGAAAAGCCATTTACAGAATGTGATATTATAGGATATTGGGAATATTGTGCTATATCAGCAAAAGAATTAGATAATATAGCATGTTGTATTTTTGAAATTTGTGTTAATTTTGCCTCTGTTGAAAGGCTTTTTTCATGTATGGGCTGGTTGTATAATAAGTCACGGTCTCATTTAAAGGTTTGTTTAAATTTATTAAAATTAACTTTTTAATTATTTACATATATTTAGATTATTAATTTTAGCCTCAAAAAGTACTTAATATGAGCCAACTTTATGCTATTATGAATCGATATAATCGTTTAAAAGAAATTGAATTATTAATGAAACAATACAAACAAACTAATGTTGCATTACCAATACTTAATAATTATGTATCTGTGGTTGATAATAATTCAGATGATGAGGAAGAAGAAACTAATGAAGAAAATGAACATGCTATTAGCGTAGATAATTGGAATGAAATCATACAACAGTGGACTGTAATGATCTTCGAAGAAGAAGAAGAAGAAGAAATTGATCTTACTATAGATGAAGATAATATAAATCGAATTGTTAATGATACAGAACATCCAGCTATTAACAATTATGCAAAGTGGAAATTAGAAACTTTGTTTAAAGATAATATTCCTGTTCCAGCATTTATTTTTGAATTGTAAATATTATTATAAGTAGAATTTTATAAGTAAATATTTAAATTGCATGTTATATTTTTATCTAAATAAATTACAATACAGTATATTTTATTACCTCATACCAATTCTTTCTATAAAATAACTAAAAAAGCACTGTTACAAAAATTAAGCTGAATAAATCAAACAAATAAAATCGTAAATTGAATTATTATCTATTTATAACTATTTCGCTATCTACAAATATTTTGTTAACTTCTATAGCAATATCACAAACAAGAATAAGTATTATTAATTATTCGCTCAATT